GCCCCGCCGCACGGAGCCCCCGCGGCGCGCGGCAGGGAGGCGGGAGTCGGCGGGGGAACCGCGGCTGGGGGGGAAATGTGCGGGGCGGGAGGGGAGAGGAGCCATAACGGGTGTGAGGGAACCGGGAGACATGAGGGGAGCCATAACGGGCGTGAGGGAACCGGGAGACATGACGGGAGCCGTGGGGGACGGGAGGGAACCGGGAGACATGACGGGAGCCGTGGGGGACGGGAGGGAACCACGGAACATGAGAGAAACAGGGGACTTAAGGGAACTAGGGGACATGAGGGGGTGAGAGGAGCCATGGGGGGTGTGAGGGAACCAGGGAACGTGAGGGGAGCAGGAGGCATGAGGAGCCATGGGGGACAGGAGGGAACCAGGGGACATGAGGGGAGCCATGGGAGACATGAAGGGAGCCATGGGGGACAGGAGGGAACCGGGGGACATGAGGGGAGCCGGGCTGCAAGAGGAGCCATGGGGGACATGAGGGGAGCCGGGCTGCAAGAGGAGCCATGGGGGACATGAAGGGAGCCAGGTTGCAAGAGGAGCCTCCCGGGGAGCACCAGGGGGCTCAGGAGGAGCCTGTGGGCACAGAGGGACCCTGAGGAGCCTGTCCCCGTCACCCTGGGCCTGGCTGCCCCGTGTGTGCAGACAGAGAGGGGCAGGGACCGGCACCGGGCAGCCTGGCAGAGCCCCTCAGCATCCCGGTGAAAGCGAATCCTTAGGGAGAAGCGCAGGAATGAGGGGAGACTGGGTGGGACTTCCCAGGAAAACTCCCCAGGCTGCCCTGATACCCTCCCCGTGGCAGCCCGGGAGGTTCTTGCAGGTTCCTCAGCCCCAGCTCCAGGAACGTCCATGTTGTTGGACCTGCCAGGTCTCTCCGTGCCAGTCGCAGGCCAGCAGTGCTCTGAACACTCCTCCATTCCATCATTTTTTACTGATTTCACTCGTAACCCATCCAAGCCATTGCTTTACTGCCAAAAGCACTTGGTTCCAGGCAGCGCTACAGACGTGTGCTTCCTTTGCCACTTTCTTTGATTTAGCATCCATGCCTTCATCCCCAGGGTTTGCCTGACCTGTGTAGTACACAGGCTCTCCTCCAGGAGCTGTGTTAGGAAAATAAAATAGGAATTTATTCTCTGATACCAGCTGAGTTACAAGACAGTATTTTTTTTTAAGCAAATTCAGGCAATTTCAGTGAGTAACAGAAAATATGCAGCTATTCAGTTTGTTTGTCTTTCTAACTAACTCATGAAAGTTCCTGTGTTGGTTTGGGTTTGGAACAACCATCCTTTTATTTCTAATACTTTTAATAAAGGAAAGCTTCATTTACAAAACATAGATAACAGCTTTTTTTTTTTTTTCTTTCTGTATTTTATTTGCACTTTTAAGCCTGTTTGTGCTGAAGGTTCAATAGCTTCTGTAGCAAAGTAAGTTTCTTGTATCTGTCATGGGAACCAAGCTTCTCAACTACTCCTGGAGTTAGAGCTGCTGATTAATTTTCCAGCTCTGCTGGTTTCACAATATTTTGCTCAGCATTTTTATCTGGAGTGCCAATAGCCAAGCAACAGATGCTAATTGAGTTTTTCCCATATTTTTTAGGAATGTTTTTGCAGATGGAGCAGTCTAATTAGAGCACGTGCCATGGTTGTCCCGTGTTTCCTTATGTTTAGCTAGAAGAAACCCAATTCCAGCCTTTTCTCACTTATCCACGCTGTGATGACAGCCTCAGATGTTATTTTTAAAACTAAACTCAAGTTGTTGTTCCTAGGTGAGACGGGGAGTCCGAGCGGTGCCGGTCGCTCGCTCCGTGTGTCAGCCCTGCGGAGAAGGGCCGAGCGGCCGAGGAAGCCCCGTGAGGAAGGAAGCAGAGGCCGCGGGTCTGGGCGGGGATATCTGGATGTCTGGCTATCTGGTGAGAAAGGGCTTCGTGCAGGAGGTGTAGCAGCGAGCAGGAGGGCAGCCCTCGGGCTCCACGCGGGACTTTTGCTTTTGTGAGGCTTTTGGCACCTTTCTGCAGGAAATCAGAGGCTTGAGTGAGACATAAACTGCTTAAAAATATATTTGTGAGGCTGTCCCTGTGTCGCTGTTGCTGGAAGAGCCTGCAAGATGTTGAGCCGTAAGGCTCATCCCAGTCCGTGGCTTCCTTTCCCCTCCCGTTCTCCTCCTTTTCCTGCTCTCCCTGGCAGCATCCCTGTCAATTATTTGGTTGCTTCCTTCCTCCTGAGCGTTACAAAAACGTTATAATTGAGGTCTGAGGGTCAATGCGGCAAATTTCCTATTTCCATGGCAATTTCCTAAACATTTATAGAAATTACTTCACTGTATCTCGCTGTTGAGCAAACACGGCTCCAGCTTTACAAAGCATTGTGGCTTGGGGAAATAAAAGTTCAGAGGCTGGGTCATAGCTGGGGGAAGGTTCCTCAACATGGAGAAACACACACACTTGCTAATTCCATGAAATTTAGGAAATGTGTTTATTTTAAGTCCTGGTTTTATGAGTCTTTTAAAAACTGTCAGTGCTTCTTTAAGAGGCAGGATTCCAGCTAGACTCAGCTCATTTGTGCTGGCAGTAGAAATGAAGCTCTGCATCAAGCAATACCTGAACAAGAGGGAGATAAGTTAGTAATAGAAGCGTCAGTAATATATATATTATGGTTAGCCAAAATGGGATGCACGCAGCTTTTGTCTTTTTTTGTGTGTGTGTTTGCTTTTTTTTTTGGCTTTTTTTTTTTTTTTTTTTACAAACCATGCATTATGGCAAATATCCTGATACTGGAGCAAGGGTTTTTCTTGTACTTAGGTCACATCTGACTTGGACCCTCAGACCCAAATGGAAGTTGGGTTTGGGGGGCAACCAGACTAAAAAGCATCCTGAGATTTTCATTCTCTTACAGCCCTTCTCCTACATCAGGTACTTGTTTAGATGCCATTTTTTTCAAATTTATTTCATATTTGAAAACTATTTTTATATCCTTTGTAAACATTTTACAACAGGCTTCACTAGTTCATAATCACTAGCAGATGGCTGTAATACAATACAATGAATTTGGATAAAAATCTCAGTATTTTTTGCTGCAACTTCTCCAGTTGAACTCTAGCTTTGGCATCTTGCTGTCATTATGTTGTTTATGGCCCTTTTACTTGATTTTAAGTAAATTGTGTATAACTTTTTTTTTTTTAATCCCATCGATAGTTGTGTCTTGCTTTTGTCGATAACTAACAACAGAAATTATTTACATATATAATTTGCCTTCATTGTTTTCTGCTAGATAAATCAAGCTTTGAATGGTTGATCTTTTAATTATTTTCTGGGCTGACCTTGCCTGTAGTGAAGCTCAGATTTAGGCTTATAAAGATATGGTGCTTATGATGCGGCTCATTTCTTGTAGGGAAATTTGTTTTGCATGGTTTCTGACTATATTAAAATCTTGGTGGTTATGGATAACATTTCTAAAGATGAACATCCAGTGCCACGGGTGAGAGATTCAATTCTTACATCCCCAGGGAATAGGATTTTCCCTATGGATTTTGCATATGTGACTGAGCTCAGGCTACATTGTCCTACAGGTGTCAGTGTTCATAATGTGTAATGTATCTATGTATTTTTGCAGAAGGGAATGTGTGCTGACTGAACTCAGGGGAAATTTTGGGTTGGTAATCCCTTTTGGCCATCGATTGTGTGTAGATTAATGCTATCTGATTACAAGAGCTTGTGTATTTTTTTATTGCTTTTAAAATGCGTGCCAACATCCTGTAAAAGGGAAATGGGCTGTGTCCGATGGTGTCCGTCACCGTTAATCTCCAGTTGTACACTATGACCTACAGTGTTTCAAGTCAAATACAACATTTCTTGCTATTTACTGTAGCTTTAGTGTATGAAATCAATACCCGTTACAGTCCATCATGCATTTAAGCATGTGAATAGCTTTGTGGACTTGGTAAAACAGATGAACACAGAGTTCCTCAAGTACATGAGCATTTGCAGCATCATGTTTTTGTTGGAATTTTGTTGCTTTTTGGTGGATTTAGGCCACTGTTTTTTTTTCTCCCCCAAGCTAGCAATGTTTCTTCTCAAAATATTAACAGTGGTTGCAGTATAGGTCTGCTAGCATCAGGTCTAATAAAACAACGTGCATGTGCTTTGAATATATTTTCCTGTTTGTTTAATGGTAGTGTCGTGTATTTGAGGAATTCTACATGAAACTCTTTGTCATCTGTGACTGCGTCAAGTGACTAATGCAATACACACCACTTTTCTTTTTTCTTAAGAATGTATTACATACCATATTTATAGTCATTCACTTTGGGCAGTATCCCAAAGTTAAGATTTGCCTCTTAACTAGTATTTTTTAGAGAAATCTCGGTTTGTGGAGATTTCCACCTCCAAATCTCTTACATACCCGGTAAGTTATAATCACTGAGCCAAGCAAAAATTACCTACTAGTAATCTAGTAATCTTCTAAGCCTTGTAAAACTGTAATAAATGGATTGGGGATACATGTGTAGGCCTGCTTAAAAGCTGAAATGAAATGAAATGAAATGAAATGAAATGAAATGAAATGAAATGAAATGAAATAAAATAAAATAAAATAAAATAAAATAAAATAAAATAAAATAAAATAAAATAAAAGTTAGCCTTTTGTGCTAAATTTCCCTAGCAGCCCTGGACAGGAAGCCATGACCTCTTGTCTCACTCGTAAACTATTCTGATTTGTTTGAGATTAGCATTTACCAGAGGTGGTAGCAATAAAAGTCATCCTGAGGAACTGGCATTTCTGACAGGGGCATCATAAAGATTCTATGTATGTCACCACTAAATAACTATTGCAACAGGATTACGCCTCTGGAGGTGGCGTTGGGTTGCCCAATGTTTGAGCAAGGCATTAAAGGCTCGTGCGGTAGGAGAGCGATTGCTCAGCAAGGTGGGAGCAGCGAGCGACTCCCTGCGTGGGTTCCCACCCGGCGTCACGAGGCACGCGGGAACCACGGCCTCTTCCTGACTCTTTGGCTTCCCAACGGAGTCCCTTTTCTTACTCCTTTCTCCTTAATCTGCCATTTCTGCTCTTGCTGGGGACCGTTGTCCTCGTCTGTCCTTCGCAGTGAGCAGAATATTTATTTTCCCCCCAGTTTCTGCCTTACCAAAGATGAAACGTGCAGAAACCCGCTGCTCTTCGCTGAGAGGTTCACTGGGTGATGTTATTTAGGCTGGGAAATAAGCAGATTTTATGTTTAATTTTCTGATAAGGAAGATACAGTTCTGTTGCAGTGTGACTTTTCAGACCTTGATTGATTTATGCATGTGTGGCTTTTATATCTTCACGTAAAAAATGGACTCAATTTCCAAAGATGGCTACTCAAAATTAATTAACCTATATTAATGTTATCAGATACATTACCCAATATTCGGTTCACATTATAAAAAAGTAAGAAATTTGCAGTTCCCTAATTTTACTTTTTCTGCAGAGTTTCCTGAAGAAACATGATAGAGTGCTGAAGGAGACTGACCCCCTTGATGGTAATAAAAGAAAATTATGACTTCTTTACAGTTTTAAAAAATGAGACTTTTTTTTTGTCTCTAAGCATCCTTTAAAAACAAATAAGGAATAAACTTGCTAGAACAATTAGCTTGGTTGTTAAATAATTCAGATATAATTTATATACATATTAATGAATATTTTCTCAGTCCTTCCCTCATTGACTAATGATGTTTTTCTCATTGTTACTTCATCCGATAGTTTGATTTTATGGTTCTGATTAGGAATAAGTCCCTCTTTGTTCTTTTCTGCACGAGGGTGTACTCCCAGAAATTCCGAGAAAATGATCTTTTTGCTTTTATTAGTCATCCAGTTTCGACAAACGTACTTTCCTCACCCACGTGTGCAAGGCCAGTTCTGTTTATTTCTGTCTCTGATTGCTGTCTCGGGCTTAGCCAGCAGGATGTCAAGGAGGACAAAATGGAAATCTATCCTTTAGGCTAAGGGCTAAAGTCAGTGGAGAGAAATCGTATTGCAGACTTTGGAGCTGCCAACGTGGTGATTTTCAAGAACATTATACTTTATATTGAAAAAAATCCAAGTCAGAACTCAAAGCTATGATCTAAACAGCACTGTTGATCTCTGTTAAGAGAGTGTTTTAATTATTAAAGAAACAAACAAATTAAAACAGGGTATGGGGAACAGCAGAGGAACTATCCTATAAATTCCAAAAAATTACGACACAAGCTACAAGGAGAGAGTTCTTTAATTTTCATTACTGTGAAATTTGATTGAATCTGTGTAGTCTACATAATCTTGACTGATATGGACTGAGTACTGGAGAAGTATATCAAGTAATTAATTATTAATTAATTGACATTTGTACTTTCATCTGCTGCTACATGCCATTATAAAATAGTTTTTATGCATTCAAAAATACTGAAATTGACACTCATGGTTAGCATTCTGCCTTCATCTTAAGAGCTTGTAGAGCAAATTAAAACAAGAAATGTTTAATGTCACATAGAGCCCGAACTGTACATCTGATCTATGGCAGCTCCCTGTTTATTGTGCTGACACTATATATATTAGCAGTGAAAACCTGGGACTGGACAAGTTTCTGCTGTAGGTGAGGCCTGAAACAACCCCTCTAAGGCATTTCCCCCTCTTGTGAGGTTGCATTTAGTGTCAGAGCGGAAAACTGAAGCTTTATAAGAAATAAATGTCTTTATTTACAATAAAAATATTGTCGTTGCAATCCACTTGAGGCATGAAAGTTAACAATTATAAACAAATCTGTTTTAAGGCAATAAAGTACCATAAGGAGCATTTATGTATAAAACAGAGCAGTGACAGGAGAAACCCCGAAAGACCCGTGGCAGCCCTGGAGATACAGGGAGTCGGTTCTAAACCAACGTGGAGATGTCATTCTTGGGTTTATGTTATGAAACTGTGGCCAGGAATAGCTTGGTTAACTTTTGGAAGAAAAGCTGCATGCAGGATGGAAATTTTCCTTTTTCTGATAAAATTCTGTTAACAGATAACGTGGTATTTGCACCAGCATCTCCAGCGGATGTTTTGCTGCGTTCGGTTAGATGGGCCCTGTGAGAACCCGATGCCGTCGTCTCCTGGCTGGGAATAGGCCTGGGCTGCACATCTGTAACAGGTTCACAGTTAAAACATACTGCCACATGCATATGAAACAAAACTCTATATTGTTGGTATTATAGCATATATTATTGAGACATCAGCATGATGTGAGTATTGTGTTTAAGATTTCCTTCCTCAGCCCCTGAGCACATCCACCCATTCCTTTTGTGTTTTTAATCGAGGCTGGTATTCCCCACCTGCTCTCATCCAAACAGAACTCCCCAAATGGTGAGCCCCCCAAAATAAGGAGAACTTACCTTTTACATCATTGTTACTGCGAGGTTTTCCATGCAGATAGCTCAAAGACATGCTGCAATTTTGTTGTGACTTGTTTTAAACAGCCCTCACTGACCTCATGTCCAAAGGTGACTATGGGGAACAATAGCGAGGGCAAAAGCGCCGAGCGTATTTAAGGCACAATGATGGGAAGCGCCGATACCTCCTATTTCCATGAGGGCCCTTTCCTTCCCCTGGCAAAGCCTATGGTTTATCCCCAGCACGGCCCCAGCTTCCACAAGCCACACTAACCAGATGAAATAACAAATATATTCCAGTGGGTAACACTTTAAAGCAGTGAAATCTGCTTGTGACAGAGGCTGCAGGTTTGTAATAGCAGAGAGTGCCTCACAGTGAACCCTGGCCTGCGCAAGGCACCTGCTCGTGGTGTCAGGGAATCCCGAAACCTCCCCGTGTTTCCTCTTAGCTGAGGAATAGAAATAAAACGGAACCAAAAACACACAGTGTACGAAAGGGCAAAAGAAGCCTCTCGAGCTGGTTTGCACAGTGGATGTTGCAAACCCGGGTCTCTTCACTGACTTCTGATACATCTTGTGACAAATCCAAATATTTACCAAAAGAAAAGAAAAAAATATGTGTTTATTTTTAATGAATTATTTTTTCTAGCCTTGTGGATTCTATAAATCCCCTTTGTATACCTGTAGGGAATACAGCGTTTTAAGGAAGCAGAGCAAATCTGGCACAGGCATGAAAACTTTTATAATAAATATACATAATAAAGGAAATAGCTGTAATAATTAAGAGGCTTAAGATGGAGAGGGTTTCAATGTCAGTATTTCACATTTGCAGGCAAACTGTCAACCCAAACAGGAAAGAAATGGCAGTCAAAGTCGCAAACACCTACCCCGAGCTTCTTTTTTCCTCAGGAATTATCTTACTGCTCATGATAAGGATGATAAAAAAATTCTTTTTATACAATAAAAGGAAATGAAAATAAAAGATTGTGTCCTGATGCAAGATGCAGAAATTAATTCTCTAAGTAAAATCGGGAAGGGAGCAGAAATCTGCTGTTAGTTATGTTAATACATGTTAATAAAATATAAGATGGTAGTTGATCAGCAAGAAATATCAGAGACAGCAGGACAGAGTGAGACTGTGGGAAGTCACCTCGTCCATCCCTGATGTGATTGACTGTCCTGAGAACAAAAGTGCCTGTTTCCCACAGCAAAAGCCACGGTTTCGTCATGATAAAACTTACAAAAATCCTATCAAGTGATTTAGCATGTGATCTTGCAGCTGATGGATTTATATTTTGCCTGTGAGCTGCTAGGGATGCCAGCGTTTCCATATGCTGTCAGGTGAGGGGTCAGGACCTGTATTAAATGTCTTAAATCTGCATTAATAGCTCAGATGCATGAAAAGGCAGTTGAAGCCCTAGAGTTTTTCTCTTGTCTTGACAGGTCTCTGAGTTGGATGTAGAGTAAGAAGAAACACCAAAGCAACATTTCCCCTCCCAAAAAAGACACTGATAATGAAGACACAGATAGAGCCCGAAAATCTGATTTTATATCAGTGTGTTAATGGATTGCTCATGTTCAAATACAAGAATAATATTTTCTGAATGAGTGATGATTGTATTTTTTGCAAGTTTAGTAACATGTTTCCAACTAGAATATTATGTTTGTAACCAAGGACATTTCTTCTAAGGATACCCAGAACCTGTACGCTGTTTTACTAAGTAAACCAGGGGTGTTGTTACTTGCTTTCTTTGCCTGTGGCTTACCTGTCACTGTTTCTTCTGTAGATGCCTGCCATGGAATTGAAGGTTTAGAGAAACCCCAGCTGGACACAGGAAAAGAGACTCACCCTGGTGAACCTCAAAACAAAGAGAAAATTCTGGCCTTGGGTGAAATGGCAGGAACGGGCTTGAAAAAAGCTGCTCCGGTGAGTGTGTGAATGAGGAAGTTCATTGGAGCAACCTGGAAGGCTTGGGAATATTGTGAAGGAAAGCAAAGGAGAACGTGGAGGCCGCTGGGTTCCTACGTGAGTAATCTGGGGGTCCAGCCAGACCTTCCCGTGTTGGTGGCAGCTCTGAGATTCGGTGTCTCTTGGCTGTTTCACATGGCTTGACAATATCTGGCAGATTATTTTTCTTGGTCTTATCACTTCTTTGAAAGAAAGGTGAGTGCCGTGGGCCACAGTGTGGGTGACTCCGGCATGGGCTGCTATGTACTTGCACGTGAATGTTTGTAGACATATATATGTATTTATGGGATACTGCAGGCAATCATTGGCAAGTGCATAGGTAAGCTTATCAGTTTACATTATCTGTAAGGCACCATGCAGTTATATCCTGATAGAATTCCTCACTATTTGACTAACAAGAGTTGCAGTATGAAGGTGCAGTGTGATGGTGTCCTTTGGTAAATGCTGGATTTCAATCGTGGGTTCACCAAAGAGCTTGAGAAGGGAACAAAATCTTAGCTGTGAAAGCAAAGGTGTGACCTAACCCTTTATATCTGGAATATTAGCTATTTCCACTAGTTCTGTGAAATGTTAAGAAAATAAGGCTTTTTCCCCTCTTCAAGCCATTGCTGCTGTGATTCCACTTACCAGCAAAGCACAAAGGCAGCCGGAGTTGGGGACAGTCCTGCTGACATCTTCAACAATGCAGGTTCCTCTCAGCAATCTGCCTAGTTAAATAAAAGTGACAAACTGTAAAAGAAGTTGGATATTTTTCCCTTTTTCCTGAATAGGCTTAACTAACTTTTCCTCGTGCTAACACAAAGACCTGTTTATGAAGTCGGCATGTGTCTGGGCTCTGGAGCAGCTTTGTTACTAGGAGAAGGAATTGCAAACATTAAATCCTCAGTTTTGCACTTGTTTCTTTTTGCTTTTCCCCCAGCTATGCTGCACTGAGAGCCACCAGCAACCCCATGACAGCACAGGAGCACCAGCAGTTAGTTTCCCTCTGAAAACACGGGGAACAGCCGCAAAAATCAGTACAAAACTGGAAACAAAAATCTTGGACGAGTAGGCATAGAAATTATTTTAAAGGCCAGTATCTAACAATTCATAAAGGGTAGATGTGAATAGTGTCTCCTAGTGAGGAGATGCAATTTTCAGCCTGCTGGTGGAATGTACCACTTTCAGCTACACTTACTCAAGCTAGGTTGTATTTTGGTGGCCTCTGGACAGTGATGACGTGGTTGATATTGCTCTTCTGCCACCAGCGAGCTCTTCTTGTCTTTGGTTTCCTTTTCCGTAAATCAGATAAAATCATTCCTTCCTTCCTTATGCGTTCCTCACACGTTTTAAGTATTACCATTCCCTTGCTTCCACTCCAGGACAGCAGTACTGTTTTGGCTTTTGACCTGATTTTAATATGAAATACAGGAGAATGTCTCGGGCTTTGGGTTTGTGTGATTTTTAACCTTCCACTGAATGTTTCTGGGAACACTGCTGGGATTTGGAGCAGTGTCTTTTTTGGAGACAGCAGAAGCAGAGAAGGCTGAGCTTTGCTCAGAGGAAGAGGATGGTGACATCCTGAGCACTTGCTTTGGTTTGGTTCCTAGAGCTTTGACCAACCATCGGTGGCATCTCTGGCTGAGACAGCAGCATCACCTGCAAATAGTCACTCTGGGGCCTGTAAGTTCAGAGGAGCATTGCAGGGGAGCTCTGAGTGATATAAATGGTAAATATACAAAACTAATTTTCATGAGGGGGAGTATATCTCAGCTTAACTGTGCCGAATGTCTAAATCTATATCCAGCATCATTACAACACGTTGCTCTTACCAGATTCAATAAATCATGCTGAATTTGCAAGAATTTTTATTGCAGGGCATTTTTTTTTCCCTTGTTAAATTCCCTTGTTAAAATCTTCGTTTCTCTTCTGTTTTTCTGGAGCACTTCTGATGTGCTGCAGGTCGCTGGCTGCCTTGCCCATGCCTACCATGCAGGGGTTCAGACCTGAAGACCACAACGTTATCTTCTGGGTGTAGCTTCTGTGTCATGATCCTTCCCCAAATAGCAGCCCTTCGGTCCTGGAGCCAAAGGACTTTCCCTCTGCAGAGGAACACTGGGTGTGCGGCTGCCAGTGGGAAATATCCTGAGAAATAAAGGCCGGAAATGTGCTGAAAAGAGCACGGCTGCCTCAGATTTCTGAGTGGGATCTTGGTCCTGCATGGTGGACAAAGTGTCCTGGAAAATAGGAAATGGTTAGAAAAACATGGACCTTGTGGTACTGCCTGTCAGGGCCTGCAGGGCACTGCTGAGGACCGATAGGATAGATTACTGGTATTGATGCAATGAGTGGCCAGAAGCTGAAAAGATGCTTGGGCAGATAGGAGTGGAGACAAGGAGGGTGCTCCATGGAAAACCTACCGGGAAGGTTAAGGGAAAGCTTGTATCGAGTCATCATGCTTTGGAAAATGCAGTGACTCTAAACTCTGAGCAATAATTTATAAAAGCAGGGAATTCTGATCGTTTTTTTGGCGTGACTCTGCTATGTGACAACCTGAATGTACCTGTTTAGCTTGTGTAAGTGAGGTTTTGGTTCATATGGGGTATGGATTTTGAACATTTGACAACCAAGCTGTGTTATTGCCCGATGTGAATAATTGTGACTCTTGTTTTGAGCCCTCTTACCTCCGAGAGATTCTGCTGACTGTCTTATTCCGTGGAAAGCTCAGATTTTAAGGAGTTATAAAAGCACCAACCTTCCTTCTGTCTTTCATACAGAAAGCGTGAGTAAAGAGGCTGGACAGAGCATGGTTCTACACCATTTGCCAAGGGAAGCAACTTCTCCAGCTCTTGTCCTGGGGCCAGGATAGGATGTTGCTACTTGGCGTCATTCGCAAAAGCAGGATTTTTATCTCTTCCCTTCCTGAGCTCAATTTCCGCTCCTCACTCTGCATTCCCTACAGTTTTGCTAGGAATATACCTAGCATTTGCTATAGATATTTGAAATAAAAGTGTCACAGCAGTGACACAGCATTCTTGCAGTTTATTTCAGCGTTGGAGACTGTTGATCACAGTCGCAGCAGCTGACTGCTCACATGCCCAGATTAAAAACAAAACCAGAAAAAAAAAAGCTTTCTCTTTGCAGATAAAGGAAGAAAACTTCATGTTTTTTCTGCAGTTCCTTCTGAGGTCAGACTTCACTGCATGTTACCAAGGAGGAGCGAGAGGAGGAAGCCTCTTCAGTGGCTCGAGGGAGGTGAGGCCGCTGCAGGAGCGTGGCGGGACTCGTGGCCTTACACATTGACCCGCCGTGGCGCCCACGGAGCTGGGGAATGTTCCCACTTGAGCAACATGAGCTCACGTTTCAGGCACAGAGCAAGCGGATCTGAAAACTATGGACAGAAAAGATACACAATATATGCTAAATATGATATCCCTGGCCAACAAAGCGCCTTAATGTACGGTAAAATCTTCAGCGCCAAGAAAGCCCGAATGACCTGTCATTGAAACCGTGACCTAGAGATAATGTTAACTCCAACATCTATTTGCCCTATCAATTACCTCTGTCTACAGCCACAGTGATACTTGCATAACGCCAGGAACGTTATTCTCGTATTTCAGTTAGTCACCCGTGTAACTTGTATTTATTCACTTGTCATTTATATGAAGGAGCAGGAATCTATCTGATTTTTTTTTCTACCGCTGTGAGTAATATTTATGAAGCTGTTTGCAGTTCTAAACCACAAGGTGGTATAAAAATGCAAAGCATTGTAATCGCTGAGGAATGAAGATGAGAAATCAGGTGTTGAGCAAGATGCTTCTAAAGCAAGTAATGTATTTTCTGAATTACATTACAGGTGGATTTCTTGCTGAGTGGAATAATTTTTCATTCACTCTTTGAAGGGAACTATAAAAGGAACTGCTCTATTTCATCTCCCTCACCAGCCCCTTCTTTTATCACATGTTTCAGCAGAATATCTTGTCTTCATTTTACTTTTGATCATCAATTGTTGAAATTTTCTTCCCCGCTCTCCAGGCTGATAAGCTGATTTCCATTTCTCTGCCCATGAGGAAAGAATCACACTTTTTAATCTAAATATCCTGTCCTCTTTTTGGTGCTACTGCATAAAGCTGGTGCTGGAAAACTGGTCCCAGCTCTGGATTCCAGTTTGGGGTGTAGGGATCTCCCCAAACCCACCTCGCTGGTGGCTTGGAAGCTCTCCAGAAAGGTGCTCAGTATTTCGTTTCTGTCCCATAAAGGCTCTGAAAGTGCATCCTTTTGCCAATGGAGTACTGAGTAACTGTTTTGGTTCGGTCTGTGGATTAGAGCACTCCCCACTATTTCAGTTATGACTGTAATTATATAAAAATATGTGTAGATAAGTCACGGGGAGGCTTTTAAGCAGCAGTGTTGTTCACTGACGTTCACCATAGCGAGGGGCAGCAGTTATGGGTATCTCGAGGAAAACCTCTGCAGGCACAAAGGGAAAATTGTGTGTTGAGCAACTTGCAGGTGTTATCTGGTAATTCAAGCATGCTCCCAAAAGCCAGAACTTCTGAGTATCTTCCCTGGCTTGAGATACGGGTTATTGCTGGCTCCAGACGTAGACCTGAATGCTGATCAGCCACTGATGAACCTTGTTTTGTCTCCTCTGCATGCCAGATATCCCCCTCTGTAGCCATAATGGGAGAGTTTCAGCTGCTCTGTGGAAACTCATTGCACACATGAGAGGATAAAAACGAGCACGCTGCATTAAGCTCTGCAGGAAACACATGGTTTCTTCCCCAAAATGACACAGATCTGCTCACTTCCGTCTCCAGTGTGCAAGCCATGAGCACTGCCTTGGCTATTCTTTATATATTACCCCAGCAGATTTTGCTTCTGAAACTGCCTGCCACATTCCTGCCCTGGGGAATCGCCAGGGGCTTCAGATAATTCGGGGCTATATGAGGATGAGTTTTTCTCGATGAGCTTATTTAGGAGAAAAGCAGTGGTGAACCTGCCGGGCTCGGTTATGTGTTCGGAGGAGCAGGCAGGAGGTGCTTGCCTTGGCAGAGCGTCCTCTCGAAGCTCAGAGATTCCCTGGGCCGAGATCTTTGGTCTCGGATAGATTTCTGGTGAAAAAAACACTTCCTTAGACATTTTCCAGCTTTTTTTCTTTTGTTTTTGTTTTTTTTTTTCCCTGAGGAAAAAGAGCTTACAGAAACTGGCCATGTCTTAAGGAGAGTATGTAAGTCCAATAATATCTAGGAGTGGGACAGGAAGAGTGCAGGACACAGGGAGCTTTTTCATAACGCCTTAATCTATGAAATGTTTTTTTAAAGAAAGATGTTTTCATGCCAATGTACGGCAGGTTTTTCATAGCACGTCATTAATGCATGCTGGAGCCAAAGTCGCAGATTTTTCTTTCAGTGGATGGCTAATTTAATCGTACTAAATGCAGTTCCCGTTTCTCTGCAATTTTGTTGTGGTGTGAAACAGCTTCACTGGAGACAGCGATAACTTGAATGAACGAAGCTCCCCAAGCTAATCGTGGCTTCGCATGGGCCTTTGCTATCCTGAACGTGGAGGGAATTTGATTGATCTGGGTGATGCGGAAAGGTGAGGCCCCCAACACAAGGATTTTATAGCCCCCATAAAGCGCTGCATGGAGTTTTCGCTCAGGTTTATGCAGTTAAACTAAGCATTTCGTATAATATGGCACTTGGAGCGCTTTGATTTATGTTAAGGCAGAAATTGCATCTGCAATAAACATCCTAAAGCGGGGTTTAAGAGCGATCTGCTGGGTTTATTTGCGCTGGGGAAGGGCCACAGCCCAGCTCACGCTGCACGTAGGGGCATCGAGCAGGGTCGCATCCATCAGCCGACGGGTGGCACTGCAAATACCCTGATACTCCTCCATCCCCATCAAGAATTGAGATATCAAAATGTATTTTCGGAGCCAAATCTTGATAACGGTTGGAGGAATATTGCTTTTCTCCTGCTGAATATTTTGGATAAAATAGTGTAATTCCTCTTAGGAAGGATCCTATGGCACATGGAACAACAAAAGTACAAGTCCAGTGGCCTTCAATGAAAGCTCTTGATCAGTATTTAGGCCTTGAGGTGCTGCGTGCAGAACCTGATGATTTTTGCCACTGTTTTTCAGCAGGAAAAGGAAGAGGATATGCCTTTGCCCTCCAAAGTCACCTTGTTTATTCCCGCATCTCCCTGCACGGAGCTCTCGGGGACCTGGCACAACCACAGGTGACCCTTGGGCTCCCTCAAGCGGGTGACGTTGCTCGCGAGCGTGTTTTTTTTTGCCCAAGACGGCGCGTTTTGCCGCGCGCCTCAGAGCCGAGGCCTGGCAGAGCGCCAGGCCGCAGAGCCGCCTGAGGCGCGCTGCGTGTGGGGAGCGGCGGCGCCATGGCAACGGCGACCCCCGCGCGCCGCGGCGCCATGGCAACGGCGACCCCCGCGCGCCGCGGCGCCATGGCAACGGGTAGCGCCGCCCCAGAGCCGCGGGCGGCGCGTGACGCGCCGGCGGTCACGTGGCGGCGGCGCACGTGACGCGCGGGCGGGCGGCCATGGCGGCGGCTGTGGCGGAGGAGGAGGAGGAGCGGGCGCTGCTGGGCCCCGGCGGCGGCTCTGGCTCCGCCGAGCCCGAGCCCGAGCCCGAGCCCCGCGGCCTGGGCGCCGCCTGCGACCCGCGCCGCCTGCCGCACCGCCTGCTGGTGCTCGCCCTCATGTGCTTCCTGGGCTTCGGTGCGTGGCGGCGGGCGGCGGCCGGGCCGGGGCCTCCCCGCGCGCGGCCGGGCCCTGAGGCCTCTCCTTGTCCTTGCAGGCAGCTACTTCTGCTACGACAACCCGGCCGCCCTGCAGACGCAAGTGCAGGCGGTGAGTAGCATTCTGTTGCGGTCCTGTGCCCTCACCAGCAGTAACAGCACTCCTGCTCCCCCTTTTCCCTCATTTCCCCCTTTCCCCCGCCTCATTTACTGCTTCTTATTTTTAATCCCTTTCTGCTTCTCCTCAGGACATGAAGGTGAACACGGCCCAGTTCATGGCTCTCTATGCCTGGTACTCCTGGCCCAACGTGGTGCTCTGTTTCTTCGGTGGCTTCCTCATAGACAGAGTGTTCGGGATACGGTAAGAGGCCGTGGGCAGTGGCGCCCCAAGGGCTGCGAGGCCCTCGGGTCCCTGTTGGTTCCTCTCTGCTGACAGAGAGACACTCGCTCTGTGACAGAGCGGGAGCTTTCCCTGCCTTTCCTTGAAGCTCTAAGTGCACAATGCGCTTCTCTAGCAAAAACGTGCGAAACGGGGCACAGAGATCCCATCTTTGCCTGAATCTCCTTAAGGGTGACCCTGTTTGTTTTGTAATGCAAGCGTTAATAAACGTTACATAAATTGGAGTTGCAATTAGAATATTCAGAGTATTTTTGTAACTACATGGAAAGACTCATGCCCGTTGTTCGATGAATTGCAGCTTTTTGGCTGGGGGGCGTTAGGTGTTTCATCATAGTTTGGTTTTGGATGTGGATTGCAGGTTAATGGTTCGAGGTTATTGTGGGCCAGTGCTACTTAAAAGCTAATGTCGAGCTAACAAAACTCTTCCTTCTGTTTAATGTAACGTCGACAGGATTACAGGGGTCGCAGGCCTTCTCAGAACACGTGTGTAACCTTGGTCACTTCAGTGGAGCCAAGTAGTTGCAGTTAACAGCGGGAATTTAGAGGTGCTGTAGACTTTCCTGGGTGACCTGCACTGTTACAGGGTACAGTGAACTACTTCCAGCTGTCACGTATTCCAGCTCCAGTAAAGTTATTGCTAGTCCCTACCATCTATTTCTGATGAAGCAGTGGCATTTGTTAGGGAGAGCTTGCACTGCTTATTGTCCTTCCCCGTGTTCCTTGCTGCAGACATAATACTGTGTTTTATAGGAAAACAAAAATGTTGTTATTCATTAAATCATTTTATTTTTCTTCCAGGTTGGGCACAGTAATATTTAGTATCTTTGTTTGTGTTGGGCAGGTAAGTGCAAATGGGAGGCTGAAGGGTGATATGCTTGAAATATCTCTGAAAAGAACAAACGAGGCTGCTTCTCTTGGTGATGTGTATTCCAGGTGAGAGGAAGCAGGGAAGAGAACGGATAGGGGAGAACCCTAACCCAGGGTGACCTTTCTCCCAGCACATGCTTATGCATGTTATTTAAATAAAATCCTTTGTTAGTACAGAAGTGGCATAGTCAAGTTATTAGGACGTGACTAACACCTAGCCTATAAATTTATCTTAAATTATCTGCTTACATTTTCACGTAACATAGGAATTTAGTCTTTATCCAGCTCAGGTAGATTGGTTTGTGCCTATGTACCTGTGCTGGCCTCTCTGTGGTCGGGATGAAGGTTAATGACCTCCCTGTCCATCCTTGACTGTTCGGACATCGCAGGGCACAGGAGTGGCTGGGGACGGAGGCCAGAGCAGCCCTGCACACAGTGCATTGGGTGAGGGCACAACTGGCACCTAGAGATGTTTTCTGAGTGCAGCTTCAGGGTGGACTGGCTTGGATATCGGGTAGCTGGCTGGGATGAGGTGTAAGGCAGAGGGAGCTAAGGACAAAGGCTGCAACCAGGAAGAGAATGTGAAATATTCCTTTGGGTCGAGGAAAGGGAAAGTGTTTTTACCAGTTCTGAAACTTGTTTGTTCTGTACTTCAAGTGTGAAATGATAATTTCTCCCATGTGCTTGACTCGCAGGTGATTTTTGCAGTGGGAGCACTAATCAACGCCTTCTGGCTGATGGAAGCAGGCAGATTTGTGTTTGGGTGAGTCTAGCTGAATGTAGCCTGCATGGCTACATGGTAGGCATGGCTACAAATGGGACTGCTTTCTTGTTGCTTTGGGTGTTGCAATTAACATGTTTCGTTTCTCCTTTTTCCAGAATAGGTGGAGAGTCCTTAGCTGTGGCACAAAACACTTATGCAGTCAGTTGGTTTAAAGGCAAGGAATTAAATCTTGTGTTTGGATTACAGCTAAGCATGGCCAGAATTGTAAGTTTAAAGCTTTATATCTTACTCTTAAAATTTCTGATGTTCAGTTTGGTTTAGCAGTGAAACAAGTGGAAAGCAGTGTTACTAAGGCTCGCTAGGAAGCTTTTTGGGTGAAAATGAGTTTACATATTAAAGGTTTCATATGAATTCTTGATGTGTTGTGAACATTGGCTTATCTGAGTGCAGCTTGTGGCTCTGAGACTTCAAGAGCAGCTCCTGATAAGTGAGCTGGAATGGCCACTTTTAAGAAATCACTACCTTTATTTGTTACTGTTGTGTTTTTGTAAGAAACTTGTGGGGTTTTTGATGTTGTTGTTTTGATTTTTTTCTCCTTTTGCCAGAAGTGATGAATTGTGTGACTGCATTTAGCTGTGCCATTTTGAATTCATATTGTAAAATGTGTTGTCCTTCACGTGTGTTTGTTCTGCCTAGGGGAGCACGGTGAACATGAATATCATGGGATGGGTATACTCCAGAGTTCAGCATCTTCTGGGGCACACTGGCCACAGTGCTCTTGGGTTAACTCTCATGATAGGTTAGTAGTGTATTTAAGTTGCTGTCACACCGGGTGTTTTGGGCTTCATCCTGAACAATATGCACGTATGTTAATGGCTTGTCATCTAGAATGCAAGAAAATGATGAGTACTTGAGACTGGGAAGAACAGCTTGGACACTACCAATGCTTAAAGTTATGTCACGTGCTGTCATTATGCGAGGTGTAAGATTATTGTGTCTTATAATACTATGTGGCTTCTGTGGTTGTAAGATAGAAACTTGATTTTTTTTATGGAGCTGAAATGCTTTATGTTGAGCAAACATTCAACAGTATGATTTGGTCAAATCTCTTGCAACAGGCTTGAAAACCTTTTTGAAGAATGCTCTGTAAAAGCTTGTGTGCAGTTATGTCTAACACACAGAAGTGAAATTTCAGGTCCCTTTGCGTTAGTTTCCCTCCTCTCTGAGCATGAGTATCAAGGCACTGATGCTTGTAAAAGAAACCAAGCTGAGCTGTTGTTATAACAAGGTGCAGGTAAAGGAGTCTGGCTGTGCTGGGCAGTACTAATATTTTGGAATAAACAGTAGTTCAAAATCAAGGCAGATCAGAGACCTGAAGAGGACTGTAGCTTTAAACATTTACAATTCTTTGAGCTATACCGCCATTGAATCTTGTGTGTATGGCAAATGAGTGTGAGTAAACAGACTGAATAAGCATTGGATATGCTAATTACATATATACAGATATGCATACATATATAAAATGTAATGTATTATGCTTAAAAAGCAATTTACTACTTTTGACATTAAGTAAACATGTCACGTTGCCTTCTTGCAGGTGGCACAACATGTCTCTTTTCCCTGGCTTGTGCATTAATCCTTGCTTATCTGGACAAGAGAGCAGAGAAGTTGCTTTGTAAAGAGCAAGGGAAAACTGGTGAGTAGGATGGGTGGCAAGGTTAGCTACGCTCTGGGCTAGGTTTAATTCTGACCAATGTAAACTTCATACAGTCCGACCACTATCTACACTCTTGGATGCTTTATTAGGGACTCTTACTTAACCTAGTGTTTGTTCAGTATGGATGAATTTTTGATTTGTTTATGCTGACTGAAACAATATTTTTTACTCCAGGTGAAGTGATCAAGCTCACGGATGTGAAGGACTTCTCTTTGTCTTTGTGGCTTATATTTGTAATCTGTGTTTGTTACTACGCAGCTGTTTTTCCTTTCATTGGACTTGGAAAGTGAGTATCTTGCTAAAATGTGGCTATTCCCTTTGAATCTGGCCAGGGTTTAGCCAGTTATAGTGTTACTTGAAAAGGGGAGTTTTGGCTAATGTTTAAGTATTGCAGGTAGCTACAGAACAATTCTTCCCTTAGCAGGTCTATGCTAGGGCTTGTCACTCTTTCTCTGTGGCACTGATTAAGAATACTTGTGATACAAGTAATTGTAGTATTATGGTTTCCTTATCTGCTGAGCTTTGTGCTGAGCAGGGGTATTTCCCAGAGTAGTCAGAATGCTAAGGTGTAGTGCACTTTCCATTGCTTGATTAAAACTTGATGCAGATCAAAAACATACCGTAAATTTCAGTGCAGAAATCTGTGGATAGTTCCATGCAGAATTTCTTCTGTACTGATGCACTGTTGAATGAGTATGAGGTGGAGGTTTAAATGAACATGGTTGCAGCTTTGGGCTAAGGTTCTTTTAATGTACTGATTTTAATATATATTAAAGGTGAAATTCGAAGTTCTTTTGTAGGTTTTTAATGAAACTCATGACTTGATCTAATGATAGATCAATCAGGTGTTTTGAATGTTATTGGGTTGGATCTCAAGATAATGAGTGCATATGGAGTGAGAAGGAGAGTTTGAGCTTGCTGACTGTAAGACATCTCCAGGCTAACGTGTGTGCCTGTTTTCTGCTCATATGTGTGTTCTGAAAAGCCTCACCTTGGTCTTGTACAGTGTTTTTGGAGCTGATGTCTTTATTACTCAGTTATGCTTTAGCTGTATCCTTTGGCTGGCTTCACCAAAGTGCAATTTGAACAGTCCTGAGGGGGGAAAAAAAAAATGTGTGCCTTAAGAAGATCCTAAATGTCTTACAAATTAGAATCTTTTATGAAGAAGTGGCAGATGTCACTCAAAGCTATATTTAAAAGTAGTCTGTAAACTAGGATACTTAACTAGGATGTTTACTTAGTTTAACTTAATTTTCCTGCAAGTGTGAGTTGTTCTAAACTTTCCTAAACGCTTTCTTTATCCTTAGGGTCTTCTTCATTGAGAAATTCAAATTCTCATCTCAAGAAGCAAGTGCGATTAACAGGTATTTTGTGGTTGCTTTAGCAAATTAACATGCAACTGTGTTTTGAAAAGTGTTAGGTGTCTGAGCTCTGAAAGCTGGGAATCTACTATTGAAGCTGGCTTACATTTAGGTGCGTAGTTAAGCTTCCCATGGCCTGAGAAATAACTCGGAAATAGTATTTATTTAAGTAAAAAAAGAATCTTAGATCTTCATGTTGAAGAATCAGAAGAGTAAGTTCTGCCTCAGGGGTACCCTGATACCTGGGGATTCTATTCAGAGTGATAAGAGTTTAAAAACTCAATGAAACTTTCGTTGTTTGGGGATGAACCTGCAATATGGCAAAACATAAAGCTCTTGGAATCTGTGGACCAAATGTTTTAAATGTATCAGTTTTTCTATAATGGTTACCGAGCGTTTTGATGTCCGTGGACCTCTGTGAATTTTTGACTTCTTGTTTGTTTTGTTTTGAGGTTTTTGTTTGATTAAGATTTCGTAAGCAATAGGGGAATTGGACATTTTATGGGTTGGTACTTGTATTTTGGAACAAAATGCTGTCTGAGACTAATGTTCAATTCTCTTCCTCTTTTGCAGTATAGTTTATATCATATCGGCACCTTTGTCGCCTGTTTTTGGCCTCCTGGTGGATAAAGTTGGCAAGAATATCATCTGGGTTTTATGTGCTGTAGTAACTACACTCGCTTCTCACATCATGTTGGCTTTTACCTTCTGGAACCCCTGGGTAGCAATGGTAATTGATTTTTCTTAAGAGACTATATAACCCAATATGATAAAATAGGAAATGTGAGTTGATGAATCCTTCTCCATGTGCTACCTCCATCTTCTGACTTTAGCTAGTCCTCAGAAGCTCCTTGGGAATTTTTGACTGATATATAAGCAAAGTGTGCAGAAGAGGTGAAACCATCATGAACTGTCTGTGACCTGAAGATTACATTTTGGTTTTGGTATTACGTAGTGGGTAGCAGTAAATGTACTTTTGTACAGTAACTTTTGCACAGTAACTTTTGCACCGCAGTAAATGTACTTTTTGAGTGGTGATTGTTCAGGTGCAGCTCATAGCACCACTCATAGCAGCGATTCTTTAATTTTATTCTCCTGATGTATTTCCGAAGTTTATTAATATAACTAACAGCGATATTAATTGGGCTCTAATATACTGTATTGGGTAGTGGTACGCCTCAGGAAAGATCCTCATTGTTTCCCCCTTCCCAGGGCCAATTTTCAGAGAATTGTCTTTGGAACTTGGGTTTAGAGGTTTAAAGCTGGTATGAGGGTTTAAAGCATGTATGAGGGTTAAAAATAGGGTGCTTGTCTTTATGTTCTTTTCCCTGGTGCAATTCAGCACTGATGATCTTGCTCTCGTTATTAATGTCAGGCTCATTTTCTTTCTTTTGAGGCCTATTACAGAGCCTTTAGTTTCTGGATCATTTTGCTTTTGGATGTTAAAATGTATGGGGAAAAATACTTTCATTGATTCAGACATGTTTGTGGGATTTCTGTAGAATGTGTGTGCAGAGTTTCGTGTGTGTGTGTTTTTTATTTTGTATATGATCCTTGATTGAAAAATTTCTTGGCTGTAATAGAAATCTGTGTCCTCCCCTTCCCCGCCTCCCTGCCAAGCTGAGAGCTTTTAATAGAGGTATATCATGGTGTATCATGTTTTATGATGAGACCAAAATTCATCTAGTTTGATTAGTTGGCTTGAGGGAAGCGGTTGTTTTGTTTAAATGATCTTCGTGATAAGATTTCAGATAAGCCTGGGAAAAGCAACCTCTGCTTCCAAATGTGCATATGTATTTAGTTTTTTGAGGAGGGAAATAAGTTCGTATATTAAAATTTCACCCACAAAAACTGCCCTGTACCTAATACCTGTTTGTTTGTTTTTGTTTCACCAGTGCTTACTGGGAGTCGCTTACTCGCTGCTCGCCTGTGCCCTGTGGCCCATGGTGGCCTTTGTCGTTCCAGAACATCAGCTGGGAACTGCTTATGGCTTGTAAGTCATTATATCGGTCTATTTATCCTGCAGAGTTACTGAATTTCAAGCAATTTAGTAAATTAATGGTTAATAACTTCCATGGAGTTCATAGTAACAGGAAGCCTCATGTAGTTTCAGGATGTATGTGTGGTAGACTGTGGTTCTGGTGCATGCCCAGAAGCATCTGCAAATATGTGGAGTCACGAGTGTCCTTGTGTAACATTAGGGAAGAGGTTAAATTTGTTCATTGCCACTAATGTGTTTTTTCTTCCCTGTTTAAAAAAAAAAAAAAAAAAAAAAAAAAAAAAAAAAAAAAAANAAAAAAAAAAGGCACCTAAAATAAAAGCCCTGCAGTGATAACCCTTTGTTCATGTGTTAGCATGCAGTCTATCCAGAATCTGGGTCTGGCAATTATTGCCATAGCAGCTGGCATGATACTGGACACAAGGGGATATCTGTTTCTTGAAGTGTTCTTCAGTGCTTGCGTCTGCTGTGAGTACCAAAAACATTGAAAACTGTTTCTGTGCATTCAGGAGAGCTTATTAAGCTTTTACTACCATTTTACAGACGATATTAAAGCAACTGCCCTTTAATGTGTAGTTGGATAGAAGTTTCAAATGTGGCAGTCTTGAGAGTAACTCATTTTAGTGAAGTATTTTGTATTTTTGAAGAGACGTAAGTAACTTGTGTATTGAAAAAAATGAGGAGTCAATAAAAAATAGACAAATTATCCCTTTAAAGGCTATATTTATATGATTACTTTTATTAGAATAAACAAAGTACTCAAAGTTATTTTAGTTTTACTACTGGTAAGTGTAGTGCGTATTTCAAAACTGATTAAGTAATTCTGGCAAAAGTCTGCTTTGTTGAGAAAAATCCTGTTTATTGCTCACTGTATGTTCTTATGTGTTTTATTGACAACTCTTTTTTTTTTTTTTTTTTGTAGTGTCACTAATAGCTGTAGTGATGCTGTATTTTGTGAATCATCTCACAGGTAAAGTGTTTTCACTTTGTCTAGATGTTTGTCTTTGATCATGATTCCTAAAGCTATCCAGGTGAGCTGTTTATGGTTGAACAGCCCCTGCCAGATGCTATAGCTCATGGATTGGTTAGCAGCAGCATTTATTGGTGGGAACTGTCCTCATAATGTCTTTTTTTCCTAGACAGATTAGTGTGTAATCCCCTGAACCTTACCAAGATACTAAATCTGATCATCAGGACCTGCTTCACCTCTCCTTTCAGCTAACTTGAATGAACACCGAGGATATTTAGCAGATAACTTCAAATTGTTCCCAGCTGCTTGGCAATTTGACTGTATACATACCTGCAAATGTATGCACAGCGTATATCCACATTTGTGGTAAAACATACCGCAAATATAAAAAGTAACTCACAAATGTGAAAAAGAGATCTGCTTGGGGGGTCTGCGACAGAACTTCTTATTTAATTTCAACCTTTCTTCATTCCTGATTCTCTTTATTTTCATCTGTAGCTTTTGCTTTTTGAAATTACTATTGTCTACTCTGGATTTGTGATATTCCAGCACGTGAGTGTTTGGGTGGCAGTGAACGCTTTCTAACTGTTGTATGGGCTTCTCTTGCAGGAGGTGATCTTAACTGGTCTGCAAAGAAAAGGGAAAAAATGCAAAAAGTAACTGCAACTGAGTAAGTATAAAGAACAGAGAACAGTCTCTTTATGAAAGAGTTAACATAAAGTAGTTAAGTGGACTAATTTTATGAAGTGTCGTTTTAAAAGCTGTATCTCTCAGAGTGCCCCCAGTTATTTCCCCTCTCATTTCAGCATGATCCTCTTGCTGTGTTGCTTAGAAGTCTAAATTTAACTCCTTGTCTTCAAAAATTGGCTTGAATCTAAATTTCAGTGCTAATGTGACACTGGGAAGCTGTTTGGATTCTGTATAAATGCTGTTAACTTCAGTAAAGTTTCCACTTCAGAAAGGAAATGGGATGTGGGGACTCCAATAAAGTGGAATCAATTTCTTTTTAAAAGGAATTTGAATACTTGAAGGTTGAGAGCAGAAATTCACAAAATGAGCCAGCTCTAACAGCTGATCCAATTAATCAGATTTCATTCTGCAAGGGACCTGAATGACTTGCTTTCCTCTACAGAAGATGAGGACAGTGACATTCTTCATTCTTCAGAATAGTAATTTTAAAATCTGCTTCTTTGCTCTCAACAAGACATTGACACATTAAAAATGCATTGTTTTGTGTTATCCAAACAGCTGAAATTGTGGTGTGTGGGTTTTTTTTTTTAAAGAGTGTTGTTAAATAAAATATGGAAGATGCTGCCCATCTACCATTGGTTGACTCCCAGTGTCCCATGGTACCAGCTTTATCCCCTCTGCAGAGCAGAAGATTTACTTGCTTTTTTGTTTTATCTTTGCTATCCAGAAATGCTGAATGAAGGGCTTTCAGGCTGACACTGAGTTAGTCTCATAACTTGCAGAGCAGTTACCTTCTCTGATGGGGAAGGAAAGGGAGGCGGGGGGAAAAAACCCACTGTACGGAATTTAAAATCCATTGAGATGTCACCTTAAAGGCAAAAAGGAAAGAACAAAACCAAAACAAAGAAACCGTTACACTACTTTTCCACTGTCTACTTCAGTGTTTAGTGCTTAAGGATTGTTAGGATGTGTTTGCTTGAGGGTTAAGTAATGTGGGCTCTAAGTATTAAAACCTGCTGACTGGAAAATGCCAAAGCAATGGAGACAAAGTCTTGTTCAGTGTATTTATTTTACTGCGTTTCAAGCATAAGTGTATGTTGATGCTTATGGGTGGGGCAACTGTAAGAAATGTGAGATCTGGGGTGGTTCCCTCCCCTGCCCCCCGAGATTGTGATGCAGAACTGCTGGAAAGGGGCACAGTGTGTGTCCACATAGTGGGCATTTCCTGACTTCTTCTAACCTTAGCAGCCTTAAAGCTCAGTATTTGTAATATGAACGTGTAATTTCTTGTTAACATGAGCTTTCAAGATACTTCATTTAAAAAAAAAAATTGATTTTGCATCTTTAATGTCGTGTCAGGCTAATCTGCAGAGTTTGAACTGCTTATATGTGAACAATGTGACGTTTTTGTTTAGATATACTTTATATTTTGAGCTAATTCAGCTCAGCAGGTGTTTAAATCTTGAAGTTTACCTGCTATATTACTGTTTTTTTTAAATAAGTAGTTAAAATTGCTCTGTAGTTGCCCTGCATCTTGCTGCTCTTAAGTTCATTCCAAAGAGATCCTTTTCTAACATGACATCTATTATAAATGGAGCTTCTAGATGTTTCTAGAATGAGGCTGTATAATTGTCCATAAGTGATACTAAACAAAAAAACCCCTTTTATCTGGGAGTAAAGGAATTCTGTGTCCACACAGCTGCTCTTTTTAAACTGCCCGATACCTGTGGGCTGCACATAACACTTCCAGTATTTACTCAAGGATGGTTTTGTGTTAGGGTACACTGTGGGATATTGTGCCCTAGAGCATTACTTCTAGTAATTTTCATTGCAATGTTTTTTGCAGAAAAGAAAGTTGAATAGCAAATATCATCCAGAAGTGGGGAGCATGTGATCAGCCACAAGTCAACCTGAAGAAATAAGATGTTTTTTAGTTTGGTGGTTAGTTGTGGACAGTTCTTTTTTTGGAAAAGAGACAAACATGCTGAGGATTTTACAGTAAATGGCTAGATTTCATGCTTTGTAACCAGTTTTAATTAATGCCAGATCTGTTTTCTTAATATTTGCACAAAATTGGTTTATAGCCTTTCACACTGTTTAAGCTTGGTCACTGGAGAAGGTACTCCGCAGCCTGAAGCAAACTTTGTCTTAAAATAAAGTCTAAAGTGTTGTCATTACACACAGTTCAATGTTATTTTGGTGGGAGTAGAGGTTTACTAATATAAGAGCATTTTATGTACTTTGAGGTTCGCTGTCTTCCAGAACTTTGAAACGGGTCACTGTGTTTACTGCCTTTGTCACTTAATGCAAAGCTTAATGCAAACCAATGTCTTAAGTTAAGCATATCTGGGGTTCATTCAGGCTTGTTTCTCTTTAAGGCTTGGTGGGAAATAAGCAATAACTATAGTCAAATATTGGTTCTTTTGTAGAAGACTGCTATCAACTCTGAAGACTGCTGAGCAGTCTTTTATTTGTATTTTTGGCAACTGCTTCTTTTTTGTAATGTCTTCATACACTTTAAGGGATGAAAATTTGTTTAATAAAGGGAGAGTATAAATTTTGTTATGAGAACTGAGCATGTTGTAATCTGTGAAAACAAAAGTACTGAAGTATTACAGCCTAAATAAAAGCAAACTTTAGAAAATAGCCTCTCTTTTTCTTTGTACCAAAGTAGTATAATCTAGACATATCTTTAGTCTTTTAATCTGACATTGACTATTCATCTGTAAACATGAGAGACATTAGAAAACAAGCACAAGATAAAGCTGTTTTGGATTTGCACTAGTCGGTGCAAGGCTCTTAAACCAGTTTTCTTTTGCAGAGCAGAAGAACAAGAGAGACTCAGACGTCAAAATGAAGATGACTTGGCTAAATTACTGCCAAAAGCTGATGACTTTAGTTTGAGGAATAGATACCTCTCCAAACTAGGCGCTCAGGTATTAGTAACAAAGTAGGGGTTTTAATAAGTAAGAACAGAGCAGTAAGATGCTAATGTCAAACTTGGCTTCTTGCTTCAAAGAGCCAGGAAATTGGCTTCTAAAATGCCATCTGCTTCCTTGTTTTCAAAGAGCAGGTCTTGCCCATTGTAACTAAAAATCTAATGGAAGTGACTCACAATTATGATGTGAAGAGTAGTCTTAATAAGGTGCATGACTTTTTTTTTTTAATTCTATTTTTGCAGCTGCCAGATAATTACTCTTCCTACTTATCAACAATGGCACATAGAAGCATGCTGAAATAGCATCTTGCCCGTTGGTAAGGGCAGAAGTACCCTGCAGTTCCTGTACACAAAACTCTGCTAGTACTGAGAGCTAATGCAAGTGCAAGCAGAATGATGCACCACTTCTGCGACTGTTTTTAAAATATTCAGCTTCAACTCCCTCTCCCCGTGGGTAAATAACAAAGATACCAAAGAAGAATCATCTGGCTCTGTATTTGAACCTGGTAACTACATGTTACACTAAAATAGCTAAGACTTGGATCTGTTCTTACTATTCAGCAAGTCTGAAATGGGAAAGCTTTGCTGAAAGAGTCAGCTCGCTGTGAAATGAGTCTTGATGTGGGCGTGGGATTTAGTGAGATTCTTGGGGAAAAAAAGTTGGGCACCTTTGTTACCAACTTGCAGATCCTCTGTTTTATTTTTCTTATAGAAAAAGGTGGCAAAATATTGACTTGTTTTTTGTTATGGTCAAAACAAATACTTTGGTGTAAACCAAATTATGATTTTAATGTTCCTTTTTAAATGCTCCTGAATTTTGTATTAGGTCACAGGTGTGGCTGTAACCTCACACAAGTCCTGATTAATGTGAAAATTGGTAAATCTTTAAAAGGTTGTGACTGACAACTATGGAAAGGTTGTATGAAGAACTGAAGTTTTCCATTCTGTGGAAGAATGTTGTATAACTTCGTGATGAAGTGCTTTGCATAATTTCAATGGAAGGCTTGTTCCTACTGGTTCCTGCAGGCCCCGTTTTCCAATTATATATATATTTTTTTCCTAACTATATGGGCTTGATTACAGGATCAGACACATTCTTAAACTAAGCTAATCTTTAAAAGGAAGGAGCACCTTATTTTCTTGAGCAGTTGGAGACCTTCTGGAACTCATTTTTAAGATATTTTTTCCAGTGGAAATTTCTTTCATGTTGTATCACCTTCCTGCAAGACTCTGCCAGGACTGTTTTGTTGGTGGTCATTCTGTGTCCTGAAGAAGGATCTGGGAAAAGAAAACAGGAGCTTCCGAGGTAACTGCCGCGGGGGAGCCCCTCGGCCTGGCATGACTTGCTGGTGCTTTCTGGGCCGCCCTTGAGAACCCAACACCATCAGCTGGGAGGCCGGATGATGCAAGGCTGATTAATGTGCTTGACGACTTGTGAATTCTGGGCCTTTTTAAAATAAAAACTTCAAATGGATGCTGGTGCCTGTATTCTTCTTATCTTACCGCTTGTAATATGTGGTTAACTTCTGCTTTCCCCTGAGAAATAGTTGGTGTTTCAGAGCAAGTGTCTTTGAAGATCCAAAGGAGAAGTTTCCCCCACTTAAGTCACTTGCTGGTTGATGCATTTTCTTTTTTTCTCTCTTTGTTTCTTGCTCTTCCCCGTCCCCTCCCCCTGCTTGCTCTTGTTAATGTGTCCTTGCTTTTCCTCCAGCGCTGTCTTGTTATGGCTATAGATAGCAATTCCCCTGCTTGTATAGCTTGGTACTTCATGTGACAATAACTATGAATTTGGTGTCTTGCTGAAATGTTATTTTCAGTTCCTACTTCCTCTGTGCTGTTAAACGTGTTGCTCAAGTGCAATGGTTGACTTCTGTGCGGATACCACGGCCTGTGTCTGCTCAGCTCCGAACGCCCTAGTCTTTGCTCTGAGGGTCTTCTGCCCGGCGTTCTCCTTTGCCTTGTTCATTTCTAGACGTGGTGTGTGGGTTTTGTTGCCCTGCCTCCAGCAGCTTTCTGGCAGAGCAGAACCTCTGCTGTCTCCTGCTTTTTCCTCCTGCTTGGTGCACAAGTGCTCGCTGCTGTATCTGTGCTCTGCCTGTGTGGCTTCCACATGAAGGTTGACCCTCAAGAGCAAAACGGAAAAAGTGTTTTTTGTGGATCATGGTGTATTTTCTCATTATCTATTTATTGTGGGAAATCTAGCTGTGGTGGTTGTGGAGGGTGAAGCTGGGAGCACGTGCTGCTGGAGCAGAATTTGGCAAACTCTGCACAAGTCCTGTTTGCAGCAGGTTTGGAACAGCTTTGGTTGCAAACTGCTCGTCTTGGAGTGTGAGAGGTGAGTCCACACTGTATTTTATTGAAATACCTCTAAATCTCAGAGGGAGGTGCAGCTTGTGAAGAAAATGAGCTGTTACCCCTCTCCTGTCTATCCCTCCTGCAGCGGGTGCTGTGAGGAGCAGGGTCTTCTCCTTATCACTGCACTTCCCAACAGATTTCCCCCTTTTCACTTCAAAAGCTCGTTGTTGCTCCAGCGAGTATCTTACCCCTGTGGGTGCTGTTTAACTGCTGCTGTTGCTGTGCAGGTGCTCGAGCAGAGGGACAGAGCAGAGCTGTTCACCTGAGCCCCGTACTGGAGCAGCACGAGGTGTCTCTATTCCTAACGCGCCCGAGCTGCGTTTGCCGGACGGGGCAGGCGCACGTTGACACAAAGGGGAAGCCAAGTAAGTGCGTTCGCAGATTTGCACAGCCTAGAAAAGCACTGCTACAACAACAGTGCTTATTTATGAACTTTCTATGATCCAGGGCCTTGAAGTCTTCAACCTGAACAGCACCAGCAGCTCCCGCTGTTTTGCCTTGCTTCCTTGGTGAATAATTTCTTCTCCCCTTGAGCGTGGGTGAAGGGAGAGTCGGTCTGTGTGCAGGGATGGGTCTGCAACTGCCTGGAGCTTCAACGTGGGGCCTGGAAGCGGTGAGACTTTCCAGCAGCACCAGCACAAGTTGGGTTTCTCCTGCGGTACCTGCTTCTGATCTGATTCTTGCGTGTTATATTTTATACAAACAGCCAAAGTGTGTTGCGCTCTCGTAGATGTCAAGGACAACCATAGCATTTAAACATTTGGTACATAACTGATTGCTGCAGGCAATTGCTTATTGCTGTGTGGGCTCTATCTTCCTTGCTTATTCACCATCATTTGTGTTTGTGGTCTCTTTATAACTAGAAGCAGTAGATGTATTTTTTGGAAAGGTTGTATCCAGCTTTATTTATCAGGCACATCTCATGCAGGAAATTAAGGTGAGTGCATTATTCCTTCATAAATGTAGTTCCTCTGGTTCTTCTTCAAACTTGTCCACACTGAAGTTTGTTTCAGCTAGGGAAATTGCAGTTATAGGGTCTCTATTCTGCTGTGCAGGTGAATTTTATGGCTCATCTCCAAGTAATGCACTCAGTTAAGTGGAACAAATCTGCAGAAGGAAGACGAGGGAAGACATCTCTGGGCACCTGTCTCCTTGGTGTTCTATCAAGAGGCTCTGTCTTGCACAGTCCCAGCTCCAGAATGAGCCTGGTCGCGTTGCTTTGCTCAGGAGGAAAGTGGAGGAGGAGGTTGATGCAACTGTTGAGGCTCACCAGGGGCCTCCAGATAGTGTAAAACGAGATCCAGTGTTGAAAGAGTTACCTGCCCATTGCCTGGTGCCCCAAATGAAGAGGTAGATGGTCCAGGTAGCGTGGAAGGCAAGAAGCAGACAGCAAAAACCCCACACACCAGCAGAATGGTTCTAATGGACAGCGCTTCCAATGAGGTTGGTGTCCCTGCGCTCTCGATGGGGCTCTTGATTGTCAAGCAACAGCAGACCAAGAAGATGAGGAACGGAAAGAAGAAGCCGGGCACTGTTAGAGATGTGCTGTAGGTGCAGGAGGAGAAGGACGCCAGTGGGCAGCGAGCAGAGGGACAGCTCATGCCCAAACCCACAGCAGGAGATGTTGCTCTGGACGAGTCAACTTGATCCACATATAAGATGAGAGAAACACAGTTTATTCTCCCAAGTGCTTGTGTATCCTACGAGTAACTTGTCACTAGAGGTCACTACTACCACGTTGACATCAAAGACCAAACTTATTTTCCCTTTGGCTCTGCTGGCCTATCTTTGTTGCAAAGGAGTGAAATGCAGATGCAGCGTTGGCTTCCAGGAGGAGTCACTGAACATTCCCAGCGTGGTCCAGGCATTTCCAGTGAAGCACAAAGGGATGATGCTTTCTACACCCTTCTTGCTTCTCGGTTTCTGAAGAGCAGAGCCCTGGGGAGCGGGAGCTCCTGGTGCAGGTTACGATGCTGCTGCTGAGCAGGCTGGTGGGAACCCAGCTCAAGGTCCTGCGCTTCAGGGGAACCCAGGTGGCCAGAACTGACCAAATTCCTGTTCTTAGCTCACTAGATGCTGTGCCCTGAACCGAACCCGAGTGCTTGTCACAGACCTGCTTGAGCTGCATCTCTGCGGAAAAGCAAAAAAGGATGATTTTCTCCCATGCGAAGAAAACTCTTGCAAGAGGAGCATATCCAGCAGTGTCAAATCTCTTCCGGAGATGGCCTCTTCCCTAGCAATTAATTCATGCCCTGTTGAAATAAATAACATCATTATGGGTCAATCTGGACAGGACATGGGCATTTGTGCGCTGCTCCTCAGGTCTGTGTTTGACTAGAAAGCTTTAACATTGCTGTTTCCAGGGCTATTTCTCTCCCTGACATCCGTGAATCTGCAGGGATTTGGGGCATTTTTTAACCTAGGCCTAATGCCACTCACGTTTTCTGTAATTTAGTGGAAATGTAATTAAGAGATGCTTTTGATAGCACAGCCTTGGTGGGTCCCAGCGTGCTGCAGATGTTTCTTGCTCACTGTGACCCACCAGGTAGATGATGTCCCCCAAAGACCTCACTTCTCCTAGACTGGCATTTTGAATGTTGGTCCACTCCGTTTGCTCAGGCCCAGTTTAGTCCACCTTGCTTAGGCTGCTGCCAACTTCCCAGGTCCATTTTTTACTGGAAAAAAAGAGCTTCTCTCTTGCTTCTTAAATGTATGATCTGGATTCCTTTCTCTCTCTCTCATCTTGTCGTATGAAATTGAAGAGAAAAATGGCCTTAAAAGCTATTCCAGTGTATGTGACTATAGGCTGAAATCCTGTCATCCTACAAGCAAAAGGTCCTTCAACAAACAGGAGGAAAAACCGCTTCTCCTCCGCTTCCTCTGGAGGAGCAAAGGAGTAAAGGGGTATCTTTAATTTTCCCATGGTATCTGCAGATCTGCAAGCATCAGGCTGTTCTCTTCTGCAAATTATTAAAATCTGTGTTACTGTAATATCTTAATTAACTGACTTGTTTACATGTTTACAGAGCTGTTTCCCAGGATATAAAACAGCTGCTAATGTCAGTAATTCCCAAATAACGGAGCTGGCGTCTCGCACCAGCTGCGGCGGTGACTCCATGCAACCGGCCTCTTCACACGACTCATGAAAAAAAAATCTCAATTACCACATAGATATTTATGGGAAATTGATTGACCTGCTTAACAGTAAGGCTGTTTTTGGTTGTTCTAGGTTCTTGCTGGTGTTGATAGGTTCTCCCCTGGATTTTGGAGGACTCTGGCAGATGTTGTGGCCACAAATGTGAGCAGAGCTGCTAGCGAAGGGACGCAGTGAGCAACACATGTGGAGAGGCCACCAGCTTGGGAAGCAAAGGTATGAGCAGTATTTTGAGGGAAAAACACTGCTTTTATTGTCAGTGCTGGTCTTGCCTAGCCTATCAGTTCATGCAATGCTACCAAACACATTCCATGTTTTATTCTTACTTATGTTATTATGTCATTTTTTAAATCTATTTTTGGAAGAGCAGCGAGAACAAATCAGCTCAGCCTGTTGGCCAAGAGGGGGCCCTGATGGGCAGTTGTCTCTCAGAACAATTTTACCGTGTTCCCGGTCAGCCCCTGAACTGGATCATTCCCACATTGTTGTGTCTCTTCCCATTCAGTGCTCCCAGATCAGTCTATGTGCTACCCTGAGCCTAAAAACCAGCTTATTTTGCCTTTGCTCTTGCCTTAGCCCAAGCTGGCCAACTTGGGGAACCTTCATGACATGGATGCACCTTGCCTTGCATACAGCGTTAATAACAAAACTTCACTTGTGGCACTAAAGCCACCAAAG